GTAATACAAATAACAATGCGAATGATAACAGTAACCAGAAGACTTCGAATGATACTTAGAAGAAGAAGAAGAAAAAGAGGAGGAGGAGGAGGAGGAGGAGGAGGGTACGCCCCCCCGTTGCCCGCAGAGCGCCCCGGAACCGCGCAGGCTTCGACGCCGCTGCGCAGCACCGAGTGACGCGCGGGGTGCCCCGCCCGCGCCCCCGCGGGGCCGCGGTGCGCGCCGCACGGCTCTCCGTTCTCCCTCCTCCCCCCATCTCCTCCTCCTCCCATCTCCTCCTCCTCCCATCTCCTCCTCCTCCATCTTCTCCTCCTCCTCCTCCTCCTCCTCCTCCTCCTCCATCTTCTCCTCCTCCTCCTCCTTCTCCATCTTCTCCTCCTCCTCCCATCTTCCCTCCTCCTCCCATCTTCTCCTCCATCTTCTCCTCCTCCTCCATCTTCTCCTCCATCTTCTCCTCCTCCTCCCATCTCCTCCTCCTCCTCCTCCATCTTCTCCTCCTCGCGCTGAACTCTTCATGAACTGGACCCCCTGGTGGCCCCTCAGGCTTCCTGGGAGCGCATCGGAATGTGCGCTTTCTCCTCCTCCCCCTCGTCCTCATCCTCCTTCTCATCCTCCTCCTCCTTCTTCTCCTTCTCCTGCTCCTGGTCCTCCTCCTCCTCCTCCTCCTCCTCGCGCTGACCTCTCGTCCTGAACTGGACCCCCTGGTCGCCCCTCAGGCTTCCAGGGGGCGCATCGGACTGTGTGCTTCCTTTTCCTCCTCCTCCTCCTCCGTCTTCTCCTTTTTCTATTCCTCCTGCAGTAGTCATCATACAGTGCTGAGATGTTGAGTGATCTGGGAGGGTAATGGTGTCTCGACCCACTACATACTCTAGTGGAATCCCCACTGGGTTTGACCCCAGGGGGGAAACCAGTTTCGTTCGTGTGATAACGCTAGGACAATAGTCGTTCTCAGTGCGCCCAGTGGTCGCCAGTTGCTCCGAGGAGCTTTGAGGGACTGAGACTGTGAGCTGTTCCGCCGCCGCCGCTTCCTCCGAGCTTCAGTCAGATGATGTTCAATATGTGAGGCGTTCCTGTAAGGATTATATGAGGGCTGCGGGCGGCTCTGGCAGGATTCAATCGACGGTGTAGGCATCTCCAGCAATCGGGTTTTATTAAAGCTGGTCGGATCTTATGATGATGATGATGATGATAATGATGATGATGATGATGATGATGATGATGATGATGATAAGGAGGAGGAGGAGGAGGAGGAGGAGGAGGAGGAGGGAGGATGAGGAGGAGGAGGAGGAGGAGGAGGAGGAAGAGGAGAAGGTTTACAAAGCGTCTCAGGAGGCTGGAGGCCTTCGGGACGTTCAGAGCCTTCTGGGAAGCCCTGCCCCGTCTGCCTTCCCCCTTGGACGCGCCGCCAAATGATCCTCCTCCTCCTCCTCCTCCCCTCCTCCCTCCTCCTCCTCCTCCTCCTCCTCCTCCTCCCCTCCTCCTCCTCCTCCTCCTCTCCTCGCTCCCTCCCTCCCTCGCTCCCTCCCTCGCTCCCTCCCTCCCTCCCTCCCTCCCTCCCTCCCTCCCTCCCTCCCTCCCCCCCTCCTCTCGCACCCCAGGGCCGGGCCGCGGTGGCCCTGCCAGGCTACGGGGTGCCCACGCCCGCGCGCCGGCAGCGCGTTCGCTCAAAGGGCGAAGCGCACCTCGGGCCAGGGGGCGGCCTGTGGCGGCGCGCGCCGGCAAGAGGGGCAAAATGTGGGTCGGGAGCCTCGAGACGGGGGTCAATGCAAACGGGGGTCAGCCAGAGCGCCCGATCTTGCAGGATCCTGCAGGGCCAGGGTCGCATTGACCCGGGTTTGAGTGCAGGATCCTGCAGGATGCTTCGCATCGACCCGGGTCTGGGTGCAGGATCCTGCAGAAGCTTGCAGGATTCTGCAGGCCTGACTGACCCGGGTCTGGGTTGACGCGGGTCAGGAGATCCCCGAGTGGGTCGGGGCGACGGCTCGCTCGGCCCGCCTGGAGGAGTCGGTGGTTCAAGGATGGGGTTCTGAAGGGTGGGGTCCCAAGCACGCGGTGCCTCGAGCAGGGTCCGTCCACACTTGGAGCCCGTTCCTCAGGACCCCAGCTCTGAACCACCGAAGGAGGGCCAGGGCCGGGGGGGGCACGTCAGTGGGAGGTAGACTCAGGGGGGCGGGATAGGCTCGGACAGGGGGGTCCAGGTTCGATGTTTTCGGCCCTCTCGTTGTTTCTCGGCGAGTTTTCAGTCTCGGCGTCGGCGTGCTCTCCGGCGGCTGCGCCTCGCCGAGAGCGTTCCGGGGGTGCTCGGATCGCCCCGAACGGCCGCCGGAGAGCCAAGTGATGGCCCGAAAACCAGAGGGCAGCGCCAGGGGGGATGGGCTCAAGAGGGATGCATCAACCCCGAATCGCCCATTCATCGCCGACAGGGGCCCGATGGCTCACCTCGCCCACATGCGGACTCCCTATCGCAGGCCTATAGCCGATCTATCGGCGTTGTATCGCCGATTCCGAGTCAATGCGTTACCCCTGAGCCAGTCCTTCCCCATCGTTACCCCTCAGCTCGGGTCGGACGAGAGAGCGGGATTGGCAAAGGGAGGATACGTACGAAGTCTGCTGCATGCAGCTGGTCTCGGCCCTGCCGCGGGACGCATTCTCTGCCGTGGGATACACATGCGCCTCCTGGCGCGGGGGGGCGCCAGGGGAGCCGGCCACGTGAGCTGATTCGCTAACCCTCTCTCTGCCTGGCAGCGGGGGGGGGGCGCCAGGGGTCTTTGTGGGGGAAACGGGTCCTGAGGGAAATGGCTCCCGAGGTTTTTCGTCGTTTTCGGGCCCTCGGGGCCCTCCACGGGCACTGGGACTGTCAGAAGACGACTCAGGATGAACAAGTGTTACTGGGGGAAGGCCCCGAGGCCAAGGACTGGTTTCCCTCAGCACCCCTTTACCGCATGTTAACAGGGGGAGGCAGGGAGGGAAGGAGGGGAAGAGGGGCATGAGGCAAGCTCGGTGTTCTCCTTTCTCCATATCTGACATCTTACCCCTCCCACCATCACTTCCCATGGCGCTCATGTTTTCTCTATATTATATCCGCCAACGGGTGTCGTAGCGGACCGCAAGTCTTCAAAAGGACCCATCGCGTTATGCGCAGTGAAGAAATTGGAGCTGTGTGCATTGGAGGAGGAGGATGAGGAGGAGGAGGACAAGGAAGAGTAGGAGGAGGTGGCGGATGAACAATGGGATGAGCAGGTTGAAGAAGATGCACGAGGAAAGGTGCTCGGACTCTTGCCATCTGCTGGAGCTCGACGAGAGCATCCAACTGTCGGCGATGATGCTCCGATTGGCTTTCTGTGGTGGGCCACGCTATGGCCCAGGAGCCAACTCAGAGGAGCGCATGGCTGCCACGAGTCGATCGGTTCGAGAATGTCAGCAGGTGCTTGCGCGCGGCGGCGATCGGTTCCAAAGCACCTCGAGCCCGCGCAACGCACAAAAGGAGGGGGGGGCGGATGAGGACGGGGGAACAGCGGGACCGGGACAGGCGGAGGTGGGAGGGGGGGGCGGAGGAGAGGGCGGGGGGGGGGCGGCGGCGGGGGGCGGGGAGGGGCGCACCCCCTCCCGGTGGGCAGACGAGGTGCAGGCGCCGCCTCGGCGCCCTCTCTGTCCTCGGTGTCCTACGAGGGTGCTGGCCGCATGCGGGCCACACCCGCCCAGGGGCTCCACAGGGAGACTGCCCCGGGGCAAGGACATCACAGGAGCACGGGGCCCAGAGAGCCCAGGGCGGAGCATGACTAGGCCTGCGAGGCTCGGTTCGAACCGCTCCCAGGTCCAAGGGATCGGGGTCTTCTCTGGAGGAAGGCTGCGCGGCGGTCGCGGCGGGCTGCGCTCGAAGCCGGATTGGCCTCGGCGAGACATGAGGCCGCGAAGGCTCTGGCCTTGGTCAGGGTTGACGGGGATTCCTGCTGCTCCTCTTCCTCCTCCTCCTCCTCCTCCTCCTCCTCCTCCTCCTCTGAGCCGCGGCGACCCTCTCGAGCCTTGGGTCCTCCTCCTCCTCTTCCTCCTTTTTACGTTGGACAGAATTAGGTAACGGAACCGTATCGTCAATCCTCCTCATTCTAAGTCACGTGCGTTCCTCCTCCTCCTCTTTCTCCTCCTCCTCTTTCTCCTCCTCCTTCTCCTCCTCCTTTTCCTCATCCCGTTCTCCTGAATAGTCGCATTCGACAACGCAGACGTGCTGGGTTTGAAATGTCTTTGTTTTTACTCCACGGCGTTGTAAACCAGCTTGGGGGTGCAATCATATCTGAACTGCATGGGCAGTGCTCTCATGATTGATTCACGGTGGTGCTGTCTCTTGTTGATGTCCGCTCCGCCTCCTCCCTCCCCCCCCCTACACGACAAAAACACCGGCCGTGCTCTGGCCCGCCATCTTCCAGGAGAGCGTGGGCCCAGAGCGTGGGCATCTGTCGGGCCAGGCCTTCGTTCGTTCTGCGTGGCTCGGAGCGTCGAGGAGGCTCGCGTCAGCCTTGCCAGCGGTCCGCTGGCACGCGCCCGGATTTGAGGGGACACGAGGACACGCGAGGGGCGTTTCTCTCGCCGCTTCGCCGCTCTCCGGACGCGGCCCTCCTCCTCACAGCTTCTCCTCGTCGTCGTCGTCGTCGTCGTCGTCGTCGTCGTCGTCGTCGTCGTCGTCGTCGTCATCGTATCGTCCCTTCCTTGACTTGTTTTCTGCGTGCCCTTCCCACCCGTCTCCCCTTCGGGCGGCCGGGGCCTGGCTTCCAATTGCTTCTCCACCTCCTTCTCACTCTCTGCGGTCATCTGACCATTCAGCATAATATTATCCCTATCCTCAAGAAGATTGAATTCGTAGTCTGGTTTAGGTCACGGTTTCAGGGATATCCCTGAACATGTGGGTGGTTTCGTCTGGCACATCTTCAAAGACCCCTTATCCCTGACGTTTTTGGCCCTCCTAACTTAGGTCCCCTCCCACAGGATTAGGTGTTGCTTCCCATCTGGGCTCAAGCGATTCTTGGCTAAGCCATTTTGGCAGCCCCCCCCCGCATAGGGCGACGAGATCTATGCGTATCCACTGCCCCTGGCCAGGCCAGTCCTGGGCCCGGGAGCGGTGTGTGCGCCCATTCACGCCGCTCCTGGGCGCAGCACGGGCCCAGCAAATGGCGAAGCGCGAAGATCTCGCAGCCCGAGCCCCAGGAGCATCCCCTGCATCGCCCCCACCAGCGGGGGGTCCGCGGACATGTCGCGCACGCGAGTCGAAGAAAAAACAACGGCATGGACATCAATATCCGGAGCTCTTCGCGGAGTTCTTGGATTTGCGCTGGAACTTCCTGGCGGCGCCGCCCAAGGCGCGCTCCGCGCGCCAGGGAGGGGGGTTCAGCGCAGATAGATATTTTCTGCGCAGACCTCCAAACGTTCATGTTTCTGCAGTTGTGTCTTCTTCTAGCGAGGGCTCGCCGTTCTTATGGCCGCCTTTGTCGCCGCAGCAGTCGGCCTTGCCCGCGCTTTCGCGGTCCCCCGAGCGGCGCAGCGGCCGGCGGTGACCCACCTCGCGGGCAGCGCGCTGGCGACGTCGGCGGGCCTCGGCCCGCCACCGCGGCGGCTGGGCCCCGCGCGGGCGGCGGCGCTGCAGCTGGTGAAGCCGGTGGTGCTGCAGCTGGTGAAGCCATTGGCTTTCTGTGCGCTGCTCGGCCTCCTCTCGGGGGGGGCCAGGGGGTGTCCCTGGCCCATGGCGTCCAGCATCGTGGATCCAGGCCTCCCAGATGGCGTCGAAGCGCATGGGGTCGGAGGATCGCGCCGCATCGGCGATGCATCGGCGATGCGGCTCGATGTGGAGGCTGATCCACGCCGACGTCGCGGGTGCATCCGGCGATGCATCGCCGATGCGGCGCGATCCTCCGACCACGTCTATTTGGACTCCACCTAGGAGGCCTCTAGCTGATCGGATCCCTATCACCGCTGGGCCATGGTATCTCAGCCCCGCCAGACCCCAGTGGGAACAGCATGTATCCCCATTTGGGCGGGTAAAGCGGTCAGAGCGGCCAAGGCCATGCCAGTGGGGATGGGGATATGTTAAACGATGCTCAGGTGTGGCCAAAGGATTCCCCCCGAGGCCCAGATTGGAAGGGAGGGGGCGCCTTGGGCCAGTGCCACTTTTGGCAGCGCCCGATTCTCGCGGAGCCTGTGCGCAAGATGCAAGTCAAGCTGCACGACAAGCTGAAGGGGAAGTCGATGCCCGTCGAGGCGTTGGCAGAGTTCTCGGCCACTTTCCTGCTGGTCTTCTTCGCCCTCGGAGCGGCGCTCACTGGGGTGGACGGCGCGTTTGCCTTTGGGAGCACGATCCTTGTGTTGGCAACGGTTTTTGGCCCCATCAGCGGTGGCCACATAAATCCTGCGGTGACCTTTGGCATGTATGCGGCTGGCAAGATTGATGCCAAGAAGACAGTGAGCTACATCGGTGCGCAGTGCCTGGGGGCAACCCTCGGCGCGCTTGCTCTCCAGCACTGCCTCGGCGTGAGCACCCTCGGCGGCTTCAACGCGATGGTGGTGGCGCACCACCACCACCACCACTCCGCCAGCGTCCCCAGCATCTGGGGCGCCTTTGCCATGGAGGCCCTCGGTGCCGCTCTCCTCGTCTCCACGGTGCTCGCCGGTGGCACGGCGCTGCCCATCGCCGCCGCCGTCGTGGTCGCGCACCTGCTGCTCGTCCCGGTCACCGGCTGCAGCATCAACCCGGCTCGGTCGTTGGGCCCCGCGCTGGTGAACGGGTCTTCGGCGGCGCTGAAGCACCTTTGGATGTTCATCGCCGCACCGATGCTCGGGGGCTGGCTCGCGGGGACGAAGGCGTGCTGGTTCAAGAAGTGAGGCGAGGCGAGCCTCGGGGGAGGTCGGCCTTGCGGTGGTGTCTCTCAGAGGAGGGCGAGTTGACACAATAGTAGTTGGCCTTCAGGGGGCCTCCTCGTCGCTGCGGCTGGACGCAGCTTGGAACACCGGTGCGTTTGGACCCCATGAGGGGTCCCGGGACTGATTTTGAGAGGCCGTTGTCTCAGCTCGCCCTGCTCCGAGCCTCGGCCTTGACGCTGGTCGAGGCGCGTCGTCTTATGGCGGTGGGCGGTGCTATTTTTTCAAAACAGGCGACTTGTGCGTGAGATCCATTGGGCTGGCGCCACGTCCGCCTGGCCCCTCGGTGTGCCTGAGACCGCGGCGGGACGTCTGTAGGCCCCTTGTAGAGGAAGAAGGGGAGGAGCAGAGGGAGATAGGGGGAAGAGCGTAGGAGCAGGATGAGGAGGCCGAAGGAGGAGGAGGAGGAGGAGGAGGAGGAGGAAGACGAGGAAAAGTGGTAGGCGGAGGAGGAGGACCAGTGCAAACCCAAGACGCATCAACGATGTTGCATTAAGCTGCTGTAAACTTTTCTGACAAGTGCGTGCGGCGCTAAGGTGAGAGCCACACTTTGAAAAGGAGCCGCCCTCCATGGTTCAAACTGTTGCGATTTTGTAAGACGGCTATGCGCGGCGCTGCGGCGAGAGACAAATTATGTCACCACTTGGCCTCAATCCTAGAAGCGGCTGCAGCTTGTTAAGACGAATATGCACGGCGCTAAGGCGAGAACTACATGGTGAAACGGACCCGCCCTCATCCTAGAAGCGGCTCCAACTTTTTAAGACGAACGTGCACGGCGCTAAGGCGAGAGCCACATGTTGAGAAGGAGTTGACCTCCATTTTCAATGGTTTCAATTTTGTAAGACGAAAATGCGCGGCGCTGCGTCGAAAGTCACATTTTGGAAAGGACCCGCCCTCCATCCTTGAAGCTCTTGCAAATCTCACGCTTCATGATCATAGATAGTGGGGCAATATGTGGCGAAACACCCTACTGACACGTCCAGGGGTGCGACAGGGGGGCGATTAAAACACCTATGTATGTGTTTATATATACATATGTTTGTATGTATGTGTGTACGTACGTATGTATGTATGTGTGTACATACACATGGATGCAAGTATGTATGAATGAATGAATGTATGTATGCATTTATGTATGTATGTATGCCTGCATGCATGTATGTACGTATGTGTGCATGTATCGATGTATGTATGTGTGTATGTATGTATGTATGTATGTGTGTATGTATACGTGCATGTCTGTGCATGTGTATGTGTATGTGTATGTGTATGTGTATGTGCATGTGTATGTGTATGTGTATGCATGTGCAATTGTATGTATGTATGCATATACATGTGTGTGTATGCATGCATGCATGTATGTATGTAGGTAGGTAGGCGTGCATGTGCGTATGCATGTATGGATGTACGTGTGTATGCATGCATGTATGTCTACATGTACGTGCATATGTATGCGCGTACGTATCTATACATGCATGTATGTGTGGATGCATGTATGTGTGTTCGCGTGTATGTACGCATGTGTGTATGTATGTATATTTGCATGCATGGAAGTGCGTAAGTCTGTGTATCTGTATATATATATATATATATATATGTGTTATATATATAAATATAGATGTGTGCATACATGTATGTATGCATGTATGTACACATGATCGTGTGTATGTGTGTATGTATATTTGTGTACACGAATACATGTATACGTGTACGTGTATGTATGTATGTGTATGCATGTATGCATGTATGCATGTATGCGTGCATGCATGCATGCATGCATGTATGTGTGGATGCATGTATGGATGGATGGGTGTATATATGTGTGTATGTATGTATGTATGTATGGATGGATGGATGGATGGATGGATGGATGGATGGATAGATGTGTGTATGGATGTGTGTATGTATGCATGTATGTATGTATGTATGTAGGTAGGTAGGTAGGTAGGTAGGTAGGTAGGTATGTATGTATGTATGTATGTATGTGTATATAGATATTCATGTATATCTACGTATAGATATGTAGATGTGTGCGTTCACCGCAAAGGGATAGGTGAGGAGGAGACAGGGGGGAGATGGAGAGGGCGAGTGACTCTTAGGGTGTCTTTGAGCTTTCTTGGGATCTTCTTTGGCTGCCAGTGGGCTCCTGGGGCTCTCTTGGGGCGTCTCAGGAGCTTCTTGGTACCCCCATTGAGCACTGTCGGACTGCCTTAGCGCACCTCGTCGTTAACTGGGGCCATCTTGATGGTTTCTTGGGCCACCTTGTGGGCCCCGACGGGTGTTCTGTTTCTGTCGTGTGATCTTATTGGGCCATCTTGGGGGCTTCTCTGGCCACTTCAGGGCTGTCCTGGGGCCCTTGAGCACTCCTCATCTTGGGCCGAAAATCATGAAACGCTAAAGGCAGTGAGCAGCAGTTCGTTTTCGGGCCTAGGCGGGATTCGTTTGTTTGTAAGGTGGTATCTGGTTCATTGATTAAATCGTTGGCTGGCTGGTTGGTCGCACCGTTGGCAGGCCATTTTGTTTTTGGCTGCCGAGTGCGCAACCTAGCAGATAGTCATATAGTCGGTTGCCGAGGGTATTATTTCTGGGGCAACGAACAGCGGGTCGTTTTTGCGTTCGGCAGCCAAGGGCGCAACCCATGGCGCAACGAACAGCAGGCCGTTTTATGTCGAGCAGCCGAATACGCAACCTAAGGCGTATTTGACACCAGGTTGTCTTACGTTCAGCCGCCGAGTGGTTACCCTACAATGCAATTGGCAGGAGGGCGTTTTATTTCTGGCAGCCAGGAGCAGGTCGTTTCTTTGCCCAGCTGCCGAAGGCACAGCCTACGGAGAAGCTCACGAATGGCACAACCTAAGAGCACGTCGTTCTATTCGGCTGCCGACAGCGCAACCTTTGGCGCAACCAATACATACTGGTCGGGTTACTTTCGGCCGCTAAGGGCGCAACTTACTGCGCAATCAATAGCATCATAGGCAGTTGTCAGCATAACCTATGGCACAACCAGAGGATGGCGCAACCCATAGCGCGCAACAAGATGAGGCCAAAGCAAAGGAAGATCAGGCCGACGTGGCCAACAGCGGTTGGAAGTCATTTGTTCTACGAGGCTACGCCCGAGTCATGCTCGCCATTTGGGCTGGCGGCGCGGCCCTAGCGGTTGCTGAGATTTTCAGTGATTCCCGGGGCGTTTTTGAGTTTCCTGCGCTATGTGGGGATGTTTGGACCTTCTTGTGCTGCCAGGGAGATCTCTCGGGCCGTCTTGGCAACCTCTGATACGGCTCTCTTGGGCATTCTTGAAGCCGTCTCAGAAAATTGATCTTCGGACCCCCCGTCCGCGCTCCGCTTTCCACCTCCCCCTCCCCCTACCCGTCAAGTCCGCGATGTTGGAGCCAACGGAAGAGGGGCGGGGGGGGGGGTAGGCGTGGGGGAGAGTCACACGCCTGGTGGCGAAGTCCAGATATCGACACACACGGTGTAGTGTGTCCGTTGAGACTGCAGGTTATGTGCAGCGGGAGTTGGGACCTGTGGGCTTCCCATTTTGGTCTCTGCCGCCATTCGGGCTCGAGCCTCAGGGTTGTACCGGCGGGCCGTGTCCGTCGGAAGCCACGCTCGCGCGCATGGGGGGGGCGCGCGGCCATGGGGCCCTGGGGGCTCGTGGTGCACGCTGCGGCGATCTTACCACCGCCCTCAACGGAGACTCCAGTGGGTACCCCCCCGATGTTTGGCGTCGCCGTTTCCCGTTTCTCGGGGAGTGCACTAAGTCTTCGTAGGATCTCTCGTCGCCGCTTTTTCCCGGGTTTCCTCGGCGTTGTGTGGGGCGCGTGATGCGGACCGCGACTTGCTTGTGGGCTTCTTTGGGGCGCGTGGCCTCATGGGGGGCGCCATCGAAGGCCCCAGTGTCAGGGTTCAGATGTCCCCTGGCAAATTTGGGTACACGCACGCGCACGCACACATCAATCGGTTCGTCGCCTCATAGGGAGCCCCACCGAAAACCTCAATAGCAGGGCTCACATGCGTCCCAAGTCGAGTTCTGGCACACCCCTCACACGGTGCGTGGCTTCATGGGAGAATCCAGTTAGTTTCACCGAAGGCCCTTGTCGCAGGGTTCGCATGCGTCCTGGTAAGTGTGTTGGCGTTTCGTCGTCGCTGTTTTGTTCGAAGAAGTTCACTGAAGATTTGCGGGGTGTGTTTGTGTGGGGCGAGTCGCGTCGTCGTTTTTCGGTGACATTCGGTAAGTGTGCAGCCATTAAATGTTCTTCGCTGGTCTCTCTGAACGGATGGGCTAGATAAGATTAAAAGGACATGTTCATCGGCGGGGTGCAAACGAGCCGGGCCAACGGATGGTGGCAGTTCGGTCGAGGGCTGAATGGCGTGGGCCCCGCGCCGTCGGCGACCGAGCCCGCGAGGCGGGCGCCGGGGCCTACCTCGCCTTTCGGCGCGATTCCCAGCCGTAGGGGCGAGGGGCGCCAGGGGCCTGGAGCGAAACCGCCAGCCGCGAAGGCGAGCACAGGGCTTGGGAAGGGGCGATCGCCTACTCCGCCGCCGGCCGCCGGAGAGGGGCGACACCCGGGTAGCCCGACGGCTACTACTACCACCACGGGAGCCTCCGGGCTCACGCCGCGTAGGGTTGGCGCGCTTGGTAAGCAAGCCGACCATGCCGATTTGGTGGTGCACTGAGGATGCGGACGGGCCTGCGCCCGGCGCGCCGTCTTCGGCCGGGCCTGGTGAGCCCACGCCCGCGCGGCTTGGGGGGTTCGCGGCTTGGGCCTGGGAGATAAGGGGATCTGGCTAAGCACGCCGGAGCACGTTGGCACGCTGTGGATCGGAGCTGCGGCGGGCAGCCTCAGCGTGAACCTTTTGGGCGCTTAGTGGGGCACAGCCGCGCTGTGCATGATGATGGCCATGTTCACGCTCCTGCTGGGTACCGTCGCCTACCGCATCAACGCGGCGATGGCGCCGCTAGCCCTGAACTACGCTGGGTTAGCCTGGGCGTTGGGGCAGCTTGCAGCGCGCAGCCGCCGATGGCCCGCGGGGCCGGAGGCGGCCCTCCCGTCGCCCCCGCTCGCGCTCCAGCGAACGCGGTTCCGCGGGCCAGGAATGGGCGGGGGCGCCGAGATCGCCCGCTACAACGGGGGGTCCGCGGACGGGGTACTGTCGGCGCCGAGCCCCGAACCACCTGCTGTTGCGCGAGCGCGGGCAGGTAGCCCGCGCACCCTGCAATTTCAGCGTAGCGGTGGGCCCGGGGGGGCCC